TTAAGAACATTATTAACAACAAATCACTGTAAAGTGACACATGAAAGAAGAATTATTGAGAGAAATGTATTACTATAATATCCTATAATATAACAACAATATTCAAAACAATATTCAGCTGGGTTCCAACAAACATTGTGTGAATGTGAAGTAAACAAAGAATAAACCCCAAAGAATGCTATTTAGACATCTGTAAATAATAATAAAATAATAATAATAATTATTATTATTATTATTATTATTAATGCATATTATTGGCATTATTACTACTACTACTACTGTTTCAGTTAACAATAAAGTTAAATATTTAATTTATTATTTAAACAATTTTTTTTATAAAATCAATGAAATATTGATATTTAAATAATACATTATTATTATTATTATTATTATTAATGAATAATTATAAAATGTATTTATATATTATTGGTTATATTATTATTACTACTACTACTATTACATTGTATTTTGTGTACAATGACAATAAAGCATTCTAATTCTAATTATTGTTAATAATAAAAGTACATTTTAATCTTTAATTTCTTAATAATAATCATCATTATTTAAATTATATTAGAATGATAAATATTTTAATAATAATAATTTTACCCCTGCTATACAAGTCAAAGTATAATGAAGCTGTTAAAATTGTAAGCGACAAAAACTAATTGTAATTGTTTGTATGAAAATGAATCACACAAATCTGCCAACATTTACTGATGGTGACAGCCTAGCAAAACTTGTAATGTACTGAAGGCATGAAGTAAACGGCACATCCCATGACTGACAAATAATTCAGAGCCTAAAGTGGGATGTTAAATTTCCAGCTATTGCATCAACGTAATATCTTGCTGACGGTGCTTAATATCATTGACGAGAGTCAGGTGAACATGGAGAAAAGGAGCCAGACTTTTTAATAAAAGAGCTTCTTCAAACTTCAGCCTCCGGTGTCTGCCCTGGGGTCCCGGAGTTGGGAGCGCTCCGGCCCACATCATTACTCCCAGACCCTCGCGCGCCGATGCCCTGAGAGAGGAAGCCTCACAAAACACAGCGACTGATAATGGACACACATGCCTCCCATTCCTGTTATTGCACATTGTCAATCAAACACTCTGAGTGCCAGTCTGACATTGCTCAGAATAACAATGTCTGTCCCTATAGGCCGAATGTCTTCGCACGGTTGGTTGGTTTCTGTCGAAGTACAGATGTCAGCACAGTCAGCACTGTTCCTGATCCATGCTAACTAGCGGATTTGCAAGACAGGGAAGGACGAGGGGATGGAAGCCAATGAGAAAATCCAACAGCTGGAGAGGATCTGGCCTTCACAGGTGCGCTCACGTATGTGCCTGTGAACCAGAGAGGAGGAGATGGACGAGAGAGATGGATAATTGGAGTGATGTGGCAGCAGGTGAGGGTATTTAGAGCAGCAGCCTGTTTTAAACCTGCCAAGAGAGCTTCATCCGCCCTACACCTGAGGCAGAATCAGGCAGCAGGTCAGCAGGGCTCTGTGAAAACAGACAGCCACATGCTGGACCAGAACAGTAGCATGCCAACATGTAAAGCTCTGTGTCAGCACTTCTTCACTTTACACTTTCACAATAAGGCAAGCCTCGCTGTTATTATTGCACATACTAATATGCAGAAAGCCATTAAAGCCATCTCATAGTTTAAAGGGGTAGTTACTCACCCTCAAGCCATCCTAGGCAAATATCACTTTCTTCTTTCAGATGAATACAATGAGAGTTAAATTAAAAATTGTCCTGGTTCTTCCAAGCTTTATAATGGCATTGAATGGTGGTCGAGATTTTGAAGGCCAAAAAAGTACATCCATCCATCATCAAAAAGTGATAAATCGATTCATGGATCAATTCTGTGATTTTACGAATGCATCGCGATTCTCAGGAATCGATTCGGAGCTTAGTTTTTAACAGCAGATGCTGCTCTAGGCTAGTTTTTAAACGCTAAAACACTCAAATGCTCACTTGTGCGTTCGGCTAAGTAAAGTAAGTAGTTAAATGTACTTACACCTCATATTTTATGCTTTTATGACGTGAGATTAATGTAAACACAGCCCACTGTGAACACTCTTCATGCTTCGACCTTTAAGAACTTTATGAATTATTATTTTAGGTTCAAGTGGTCTGTGTGCAAGGAACTGGAAGCGAGCAGAGTACGGCTGTTTCCAAAGCAAAATGGATCCATGAATCGATTTATCATCGCACCCCTAAAAAAAAAAGTGGGGGGGGATTAATAAAGGCCTTCTGAAGCGAATCAATGTGTTTTTGTAAAAAAAAAAATCCATATTTAAAACTTGATAAATCGTAATCTCTATCTTCCGGCAACTCTCGGTCATGAGAGAGTGCCGTTCCAACAGCCGGAAGCTCCGGTGAGAATATGCTAGTCTCGCGAGAACCAAGTTTTGTTTACAGCAAAGGAAAACCAGTCTCCTCTTGGCTTATATCGAAATCCTCCAACATTTTTCTTTACAAATCCTTGTTTTGTACGTCTAGTTCGTGACCGGTGTTTTGTTTAGCGCTATATAAATAAAACGTATTATTATTATTATTAGTCTCTCCTCTGCACTTCCGCGTTAATCACTTCTCACCAGAGAATCTCATCCGCTGGAACCTAGAGTTTTCATGCCCATGTGCTCCCTCAGATTTTTGAGCCAAGTGGATTTTGAATGCAGCTTCCAAAAGACCAACAAAAAAAAGCTGAATAATATTTTTTATATCTCATACAATCATACCGGCATGATTAGAATGTGCAGTCACCAGCTGCTAAATTAAGATCTGAGTTTGCACTTTGGCTGGTGCTGAGCCAGAGACATGTGTTTTTACAGCGCTGCGCATTATAACCAATCCCACACGATTCTGTTGAGCTTATGAATGCAATGACCAACCAGAGGCCTTCAGATGAGTCATCGCTGAAATGCTGGTGTTCTGTTCACTCGCTCGCTTAAGGAATTCTGTTCTCTGACGATTCTCTCATCAGAAACAAAGTGCAGATGTGAGTACAATGTACAGTAAGTAGAATATTAATTTCACAGTGTACACAGCTTCAGTGATTATCATGAGAGTTTATGAGAGTGCTTAAAATGTTCTTTGCTTTCTTTCTGTACAATGAAAGTTTTATAATTAGTAAATTACAATGTTTTTATTAAATTCACATTAAATACAAAGTCAGTCGTATAAAAAATATTTTATAGCATGACAGTCATTATCTAGTACTTAAGTATATATATAAAAAAATATATATATTTTTTTTTGTGTGTAATAGAGATGTGGCCTTTAAAAATGCGCCTCTATTTCGATGAAGAAGTGCACCAAACCGGCGGCACAGAGAACCGCTCTCTCCTGTAGAGTACGCAAAAAGCCCACACACTGAATCAGAGACAGGCTCAACCCAACGTTTGGGTAGAAAAAATAACCCAACATTAAAAATGACCCAGCTGCTTAGTTACAGAAAACCTACCCAGCATCTGGGTAAAAAATATTATGACCCAATACAATGACCCAACAAGCTGAACCCAGCATTTGGGTTTTAAAAAATAAACCAGCATTTTAGCGCCCATATAGCAACAATAAAAGTTATAACCTGTAAGTTGATGAAAGCGTTTAATGTGATGCACTTGCTGCCTCAGATACAGTCGTTCTAATGACAGACAAAACACAGATCATTCGCTGGTCAACCAACTCCATTTGATCTTGCTTTTCATAAAATGTTAAGTGTCTGATAAAGCCACAATACCAACTCTGATGAAGCAGTGTTTAATTATATTTCTATCCTTTTTCCTATATTTCAGTGCTTAGTGGTGTCATTGGATTTTTTATTTATCAAAACTGTGCCCCCCGCGCTTTACGCCACTGCAATACCCTATGGTTTTGTGAAGCGCTGCCACTGCACAACCATTATAGGCCATTATACATACTGAAATTTGTTACAAATGGTAGTTAAAGACTAATCAATAAAAAAATAAAAAATGATTAATAATAATCTGGTCACCCCTTACAAAAAAATTACCAATAAAGTTGTATTAACCATCTCATGATTATTAAAATAAATTTAAAGCGTATTTACCAAAATTCATCATGAAAGGTCTGTTGTAAAATATTGTAAAATACATGATTGATGTTTGCTTCAGCATTGGATACTGGTATATTTTTAGGCGAACTTATACACTTAATTCTCTGTTGCACTTTATTGTTTCTTTTTGCACGCACGAGCAGGCATCTTTAAATTTGAACAAAAACAACAACAAAACAAATAATAAATAATGAGCTGGTAGACACATTCATTTTTCAAATAACTTTAACAACTGAATAAAGTTAAATATTCACAATGAATTAATAGTTGCGTAGCCTACTGTAAACATGATCTCCCAAAAGCAGCGCTAGTGCAATAAATTGTTTACAAAGCATCAAATAATGATCCGCTTTACACTCATGCACTCATGTGTACATAGATTTTTCAATGTCCATATTACCATATCAAATATTTTATTTATATTTTATTGAGGATGTTTTCTCACAACCACAGCATTACTGTCGGGGTCTCGGGTCTGATCACCTGTATTTTTGCGGTCT